GCTGAGCTGCACGCGGCGTCTCTCCCTCGCCCCGCCGAGGGTCGGGGAGGGGGTGCGGGAGCCGTGCGGCGGCGGAGCACGTGGCAGCCCCGCGCCCGTGGCTCCGGTGTGTCCTAGGACCCGGCAGAAGCTGGGCCAGGGGGATGTTTGTAAAGGCCGCCTCGATACCTGGGTGCCCGGTGGGGACCCTGAGCGGGACAGGCGGGTGGGACGCCCCCGCACGCTAGGTGGACACGCGCGTCTCCGTAGACTCGCGGTGCCTTTGGGGAGAGACTGGGGTACTTCCCGCCTGAAAAAGCGCCAGTGCGATGCGACACCTGGGAGGACAGTCGCCTGGTAGGGTCCTGACGGACCTACAAACGCTTCCTCGCACCCCGCCCCCGCCAGCCTCGTGGGATGGAGGAGGGACGATGTTCCTGAGACTGGGGAGCAAGGCTTTCCCTCCAAGGGGCCCACGAAGCTGAGCCTCCCCCTTCCCCAAAGTTCTGCTTGATGGGCCGCGGGGAATGGTCCCGAGAATTGCACAAAATCCATCCCTAGGGACGCTCTCCAGGGGGTTTTGCCAACTCAGAGGAGCCGTGCTCTCATCTCCACCAGCCGAAAGCTGGGATGGGGTGGTGTCCGCGCCTCCCCGGGCGTGACTAGCCTCTCTGGCTCACATCTCTGGAGTTGACGTCTTTTTAATCATTTACCAAAGAAGAATGTGAATTTCGTATCAATAACTTTTTTCTAAGAGTCAGGGTTTTCCGTGGAAACTGCCTGCCAGCCACGTCCCGTCATCTTCCTTCCTTCCTCCCTCTTTAGAACACTGGCATAAAAGCAAAACTGTCGCCAGCGTTCCGTTGACGTCTTTTCCCAGAACAGAGCTTGTTGTGTGTGGTACGTGTGTGATGCAGGCTCCAGGTATGCGTGTCCGCTCGCCCCTTCGTGTTTCTCCCGGACTGAGACCCCGTTGTGTCGCCTCCAGGTTGACATCGTGGACATATGTGAGTCCATCCTGGAGAGGAAGCGGCATGACAGCGAAAGGTCTACGTGCAGCGTCCTGGAGCAGAATGATATCGAAGCTGTCGAGGCTCTTGTTTGCATGAGCTCCTGGGGCCAGAGATCCCAGACTGGTGACCTGTTAAAGATACGACCCCTCACACCTGTGTCTGACTCCGGGGATGTCGCCACCGCTATGCATGTGGACGAAGCTACACCGGAGCTACAAAAGGACTTCCATTCTCTGTCGACTCTGGTAAGAGATGGGGGCGAGGAGTGTTTCTGTGCAGTGGCTAGCATACCTTCAATAAATGTGCTGGGCTGAGGGACTCATGGGTGGATTCCCTGGGATGCTGGCAAGCAAGTTTATAGCCTCACCTTGTGGAGGACCTAAGGGTGAAACTTTTATCTTTTGGAAACATGATCTTTCCATTGATTGAGCGTAGCCTGTAGCCACAGGCTTAAAATGTCCATAGGACAAAACCTATAGGTTGTTTGGAGAAAGCAGAAATGTATTCATATCCCTGGTGAATTGCAGGGAGGGGGCGAGGTTCCCCCAGATGACGGAGCCCAGGATCAGGATATGTGGGTGGCAGCTGGGGAGAGCCTGTGCTTTGGCACATACACCCTAAGTTAGGTGGGTGGAAATACTGGCCTCTTTGCCTCCCTGTGGCAGCCAACTTCTTACTTGTGTAAGGTGACTGCCAGTGTTGGTTTTTTATCTCCTTAACTTGTTATAGCTATGAAGTTGCTGGGAGAAACTGCTTCTTAGCTTGGAGAAGTTGAGAGATGTCTGTTGTTAACAGAAGTGAAAATCATAAGCTAATTGTCCTGGGCTGGAAGTTTGCACTGGAAGGAGACTGGAAAACCACTTGGAGAGAGGATTGTACAAGTACTGGCCTGGCTGCCAGAGTACTTGGCATTGGGTTCTTCCATGGGGAGGCTGAAAATAAGTAGGAATTGTTGGGGACATACAGAGAGGTTTGGTTTAGGCAGACTGCTGGTTAGAGCATGGCCTTTTGGGGATTTTTCTGATAAGTTCATCTTGCCTCATCTTATAGGCAGTGGCTAAGTGTGTATTAAATGAGACCTCTGGAATTTAAAAAAAATGTATTTTTTTTTTTTGAGACTCTAAAATTATTTACACTCATTTTAAGTGTAAATTTGTCTTCTCATCTGTAGTCCTAATGCTTAAATTGCTCATTTCAGTAATGGTGCAGGCCCAGGAGCGGCACTGACCTTACAGCCAAGCAGATGGATAGGTTTGGGAGAGATCAGAAAAGGGACAGAAGACTAGAAAGTGAAGGTCCTTATGCAGCCTGAGAATCCACTGTTGTGAGCACGCTTAGACTAGTTTTTCCTAGATACTTCTTTTTAAAGGCGTTGGGGGCAACATGATCAAAGTAAGAGCCTTTTAAAATTTAACCAAAACAACCTTTTTAACATGGTACTTTTTTTCCCCCAAGTGCATGACTCCTCCTCAGAGTCCTGATCTCATGGAGCCATCTACGAGGACACTTGTTCTTTCCCAAGTAACTGATTCCAAAGCACACATGGTCGTGGCCATCCCCCCAGCCTCTGCTGGGGCAGCCAACATCCTGAGCAGGAGGGAGGAGAGGAGCCTGCCTGGTTTGAAGCCAGAGCTGCTGGCGCCAGCCTCTGGCGCCCCCTGCAGGGCTATGGCAACCAGTGTCATCCACCACACAGTGGGGAGTACTGCTCCTGGCCACATTCCTGCCACCCAGACTCAAGGACAACTTTCAGAAGACAGAGAAGGAGAAGCCCCGTTTCTGGGACATACGGAAACTTTGCAGGACACACACCTCACGAACAGTTTACTCAACGTGAACTCAGCGTCCTGTCCACCTTGCTGGAATAAGCCTGGTGACCTGATTCCCCCTGACAAAGGCCAGCAGGCAGCTTGGCCAGTTGCAATTCAAACCTGCTCACCAAAGAATTATGAAAATGACTTGCCAGGGAAAGCCACCCCTCTGATTTCTGTGCCCGTCCCCAGTCCCCCTGTCCTTTGCCAAATGATCCCTGTGACTGGGCAAAGTGGCGTGTTACCGGCTTTTTTGAAGCCCCCTCCCCACGTACCTTCTGGGACTGTCACACCCATTCTACCCCACACTGCTCCAGTGCCCCAGCCTGTGTTCATGGGACCATCTGTGCCTCAGGGAGCTGTGATGCTGGTCCTGCCCCAGGGGGCACTCCCCCAGCCCACCTCCTGCTCACCGGCAGGTGTCATGGCTGCTGGGAATACCAGGCTGTTGCCTCTTGCCCCGGCCCCAGTGTTCATCGCCTCCAGTCACAACTGTGCCCCTCAGGTAGACTTTTCCCGAAGGAGGAACTATGTCTGCAATTTCCCAGGCTGCCGGAAAACCTACTTCAAAAGTTCCCACCTCAAGGCTCACCTCCGCACCCACACAGGTAAGCGCCAAGGCAGCAGGGCATTGGGGACGTCAGATCCCGTGGTTGGGAAACACACCTGAGCTTTCTTTAAGTGGGAGGGAAGCATGAGAACCACTGGAGGAGGTGGAAATGGACTGTTGTCCTCTGGCTCTGCAAAGCCTTCACGGGCTGCAGAGATCGGCGTTAATGTTAGTACAGCTGTCTGGTTTTTCTAGAACATGGCACCCGCTCACGCAAAATGTAGTACAGGTCTGTGATTGTGACCCTGAGATAGGCTTTTAGGGTGATGCTTTCGTTGCCCCTTTCCTTCACATTGCCGTGGACGTCTTGTTCTCTCTTTGCATTTTAGAAAATGTGCACCGCCATTCAGTAAACGTCAGTGGGACTTAGATTTACTACGGGGAGAGGTCTCTCCAAAGTGTGGAAAGGTTTGCTCTGGCAAACTTTGCCTCTTGCCCTGGCCCCAGTGTTCATCGCTTCGGTTTGATTCCAGTCAGGGGCACATTCCTCAGTTGCAGGCTTGATCCCCAGCCCAGGTGGGGGGGTGTGCAGGAGGCAACCTATGGATGTGTCTCTCACATCGATGTTTCTCTTTGTCTCCCTCCC